GGCAGAGCTGGGGGTCATTAGGGCAGTGATGGCGGCATGACCTCTGGGCTCTAAGATAACCTCTCAGGGACAGGCCCTCCCCAGCTGGACCTATGAACCCCAGTCAGGCTTCACCCGGAAGCCAAGGTGTTGGGGCTCCAGCGGTCCCACAGGGCTTAGACTTCAGAGTAGAAAAAATGGGCACCATTAAGTGAACAACTAAATCGATGTATGGGTTGTGTCACAGAGTAGATAAGAGCGGTGTTCAGGGCCATAAAGAAAAATAAATTGGAGTAAGAGGCCCAGAGGGACAGCGTGGAGGAGCAGCTAGCGGCATCCGGGGCCTCTCTGAGGAGGAGATTTTGAGATGGGTCTCCAGTGGGCAAATCCTGCAGGAGGCCGCTGGGCACCTGAGGACCCACCGCCTAGCTTAGGCTCCCGGGGGCAGAAGGGGCACCCAAGAGCGCTCCCTGACCCTCACTCAGCCCCTCCAAGAGAAGGAAGAAACCCAATATTTCTCCTTCACCATCGCGGTCTGGCATTCTGTCAGCACCGTTCTCATTTAACGCTGACAGCTCCCTATGAGATACAAAGCATTACCTCCACCTTGCGCAGGGCATAGAGGAGGTTCAGAGATAACTGGCAGCTGGCCAGTGCCCTCCTCTCCTCCCCCGCCCCCATGCTTTCTGTTGCTCCCTCCCTTGTAAAAGTCTTTGACCCCAAATCACTTTCCAAAATGCCCTTGGGGGACTGGAGATGGCTAAGACTGGGGAGTGACTACTGTGACCGGGAAAAGCCCTCAGTTCCCGTAGGGGGCACCTATGATCTCGGGGTGCGGGTGGGCCAGGCCAGACAGAACTCCTGCCGTCACCCTGCGGTCTGCAGCCTCCAGTGTTTCCATGGACACAGGCTGCTACAGCCGCAGGCCCCCTTCCCAGGAGTGCAGGCCCCGCCGGGGCCTCACCTCTCCTCGGCCCGCCTTCCCAGGGAGCCACCTAGGTTGGGAGGAGGGGGGATCCCAAGCCACGCACACTTTATCCCCAGCTAAGCTCAGGGATTGCGAGGTAGATTAAGGGCATTCACTCCCGAAGGCACCTACTTAACCTGGATCCCCAAAGATCCGGGCTGCACACCAGCAGGAGGCGCAGGCTCCCGGCCCACGGGGGGGGGGGGGGGGGAGGGGGCGGGCGGGGCGGGGCAGGCCCCTTTCCTCGCTGCCCAATTTCTTGCCTTATTATCCGCACCGCCGCCAGGGGGCGCGCCGGAGCCTGGGGATGGAGAAGCAGGCAGGCTGGCTTGGGGCGCCTTGGTGTGTCCCACTGTGATCTTTGTTGCTCACCAAAGAGCTTGCGACCGACATTTCCAGGACGCTGTCTCTCTACGCTGGGCAGGTAAAAGAAATCCTGTTCCATCACCTCCTGGCCTCAGCCCCCCACGCTCTGGCCCTCCTCCTGCCTCCAGGGTGCGCAGCCTTCTAGCGGCCTCCAGGGAACTTGCTGGGAACCGCGTGCGGCTCCTGTGGCTCTCAGCAGCGAGTCCAAAGCCCCTTTCCGCAGGGCAGAGCGCGAGGAGTCCCCGCGCGCCCGCTCCGTGCGGCTCTCCGCGTCCTACGGGGCCTGTGGCCTTGCGCGCCGGCTGCTCCCCTCTCTCTCCATCCCCGGCCCAGCCCAGTCCCCCGGCCCCCGGCAGCCATCGGCCTGTCCCCAGTAAAAATGGATGGCAGGACGCTGGATCGGAGATATTTCCTCCTCCCTCCGCGCGGCAGACGGGGAGCCCCCTGCGGGCGAGCCGGGCCCGGGCTCTTTGTCCGGGCGGGGCGGCCGCCGGGGGCGCGGAATCCACAGCGGCCGCCGCGCGCCCCCGGGGAGCGCGCATCAAAGGACCCGGGGCCGCCGGAGAGGTGGGGGTGCGATGGGGGTGGGCCGCCAGCCTGCAGGGGGGCGGGTCGGAGGTCCCAGAGGTTCACACACACACACAACACAACACAAAGTGCTTCCCCCCGCCGACCCCTGGCCCCTGGCCCCCGGGCCGGGCCGTCGCGGCCTCCTCTGCCCCCATTCAGGGTGCGCCGCAGGGAGGCCTCCACCTCCTCGCTCCGGCCGGCCTGGCAGTGGATTTAACCCTTTCCCCCTCGAGGGCGGCCCACCCTGCGCCCGGCGTGCGCCCAGGAGAGAGAAGGCGCTTCTGTCCGGGACACGTGGCGCGGGGGCGCCCTCCCCCGCCCGCCGGGGACCGTGCCTGTGTTCCCACCGGCGGCAGCGCGGGGCAGGCAGGAGGAAGGAAATTAAGCCTGTGTTGAAGGAAGGACACCTGGCAGGGGAGGAGAAAGGGATCAGGAATCCCCTCCTCTGGGGAGCTTTCAAGTGGGGGGGAAATCCCCACACAGGCCTCCACTCTGCAGGGGCCGTGGGGCCGCACACAGGTTCCCACACGGCCTCCAGCCCTCTCCTCCCTCGGGCAGCACAGGACTGGGGGACCAGCTCTCCTCCCCTCCCCCTTGTTGGCTGGCCTCCTTTCCATTCCCTTCCCCGTGTTCCTGGTCTGGGTCTCTCCGTGCCCCCAGCTGAGGGATGCCCAGTCTCACCTACACGGCCTAGGGCTTCGGGCTGGGCACGGCTCTGCCAACCGCCAGCCCACACGCAGCCTCAGAAACCTCCTGTCCCCGCTGCCCAGGGCTGGCACCTGTGGAATTCTGGGGTCCCGGAATGACCCCAAAGGTCATCGAGTCCAGCTCCCACCTCCAGGCACACGGGGTTTGCAGTGGGGTCGCGATGGCCAGGGTAGGGAGTCCCCCCAGGCTCTCAGAGAGAGAGGAGGCTCTGGAGCACCCCATTCGGTCAGGTGGATCTGAACTCCCACGGGCACCTCGGACCAGAACACCAGCTGAGAGCCCCTGCTGGGGGGACAGGAGTCCGGTGGGACCTGGCAGGCCATTGGGGGTGTGAGAGCTCCCTACCCCTAGAGCAGGGGCGAGGGGGGCAGGCGGGCGCTCCGAAGTTAGGGACAATAGCGAAGCCGCTGTGGCCTCCTTTCCAGGTGAATGGGAAATAAGGACCCTACGTCAGCCCCCCACTCGGACATCTCCACAGGCTGCCCCCCCCCATGCGCTGTCCCCGGGCAGGTCAGGCCTTCTCCTCCTGCTCATCCTTCCCCGTGGCAGCCTCTCCCCTTCCCCTTTCCCCTGTCTTTCTCCTCGGGCTCCCTCTGCTCGCTCCCCTCCCTCTCTGCTCTGTCTCCGTGTTCCTCGGTCTCTCAGCCAGCCTCTCCCTCTCCCCGGCACCGTCTCTCCCTTCTCTCTCCTTCCCTCCTCTCTTTCATCTCTCCCCCGACCCCACCCCCTCCAGCCGGGCTAGGAACGCAGCCGAAGCCGTGACAAGCCCAGGCGGCTCTCCGACCCTTGGTGCCCGCGGGCCAGCTCCCCAGCTCCCGCGCCCGCAGCAGCCGAGAGCGAGCGCAGGGAGCTCCTGGGATGCGCAGGGCCGGCGGGTTCGAGCTGTGGGCATGGGTGGCCCAGATCAAAGGCCAGAAATGTCTGGCCCCTGGCATGAACTTCCTCCGGTGGAGCCCCCCCACCCCCACCTGGACGAGCCCGAGCTCCAGGCCTCCCTCCTCAGAACGTGGGGCTGCCCCTCCTGCTCTGCTTCTCTGAGCAGCGGCCCTCGCCCCCTCTCCCTGGCGTTGCCTGCTTCACCCCAGGCCCAGGGCTGCTCCAGGGTCCCGAGTGCCTCCGGAGGCCTTGGGTGGCCAGGGAGGGGAGTTGGGGGGCAGGCCACCCAGGCGACAGCGGGCAAGTCCCCCCAAGGTGTGCCCTCCATCTCAGCACCACTCAAGGCTGAGACCGAATTCCTTGACTTTGGAGAGGGGGAGGACAAGAAGAAGCCACGGGCTTGGGAGTACGTTTTAGCTATGATGAGGGCCGGGGGGTGGTGGTGGTGGTGGTGTTGGGGTACACTTGGTGTCCATACGGGGAAAAGGGACCTTATCGAAAACCGCAGGTTGGAGCCAAGGGCAGGACGGTTGGGGAGGAGGGGTGCGTCTGGAGGGCAGCAGGGTGTTCTGAGGACCCCTTAAACGTTCATCCCCTCAAATCCAAATGGGACCGCGGGGCCAGGCTTCCCACCGGAGCTGGAGGGCGGCCTGGCCTGACCCCCTGGAAGAGGAGAAAGTGACCCGGCTCGGGAGCAGGAAATGCAACTGGCCGCCGGTGTCAGTTGCAGGAAATGCAAAGGCAGCAGGAGGTCCCGATACCGATCTGCTCCCTGACAAAAGACTCCGGTGACACGGCCCCGGCCCCGGCGCCGCCCGCAGCCAGACCTTGGAGCCTCCGCAGGCCCTTCTGACACCCGCGAAGCCGCCTCCCGCGGCCCGGCCGAGCGGCTTTGGGGCTTCGGGGCTCGGAGGCCGGAGACTGGAGGCTGGGAGGGGCGGCATTTCCCAGCCCCCTCCGCGACCCTCGGCTCCAGGCTTCTGGGAGCATCTCTGTGCTTTCTACTGTCCATCCCTCCAGGGCCCCAGGCCCCAGGGATCACGCCCCCCCCCCCGGGGGAGCGGAGACACCCATCTGTGCCCACGCCGACCCGGCGCCACGCGAACGCCCCCGGCTCCCTAGCCCTGGCTGGCGAGGGTGCCGGGCGGTCCAGCAAGAGGGTCCACCGGGCCGCGTCCCCCCTCTATTCCCCCCCAAGTTCTCCCTGTGCCCGGGGCGCGGGCTTTGCCCAAGTTTGCAGGGCGATGCCCTTCCCCGCGCCCCGACGCGCGGGCCGGCGGGAGGGGCGCGTGATTGACAGGCCGAACCAGGGACGCATCTCCTCCGCAGGCCGCGCGCGCTGATTGGCTGCGCGCTGACATCCCGGCCCGGCGGCTCCGCGCCCGGCGCGCAGGGGGGCGGCCGCGGGCGGAGGTGCGCCTCTGACAAGCGAGAAAGTCATTCCCAACCTCAAGTGGACTTTGTTCCAACTAGTGGGGGCGTCGCTCCCCCGCTTCATGGTCGGGGGCAAACTTCCTCCTCGGCGCCGCTTCCAATGGAGCCCCACCTGCTCGGGCTGCTCCTCGGCCTCCTGCTCGGTGGCACCGGGGTCCTCGCCGGCTACCCAATTTGGTGGTAAGACTCGCCCCTTGTCTGCCCGCGGCCCCGTTTCGTCGCCGCGTCCTCCCCGGGGAGGTTGAGGGGGGTTGGGGCGCCGGCTGGGGTGGGCTCGGCCCCGGGCTGGGGCTCCTTTCTCCTGGCCTCCTTGCAGCCCCCCATTCCCTATCCCCTCTCCCCCGATTTTCTGCTGGTGTCGCCTTCAGAATCTTACTCCTGGCTTCTCTGATAATCACCATTTTCCCTGCTCCACTCGCTGCAGAGGCTGGAGTGGAGGGCTTACCCCGTCTCAGAAGGTCTCCTGATCTTATATCCTCAGCCTCCACCCATCCCGATCTGGGGGGACCCCCCACCCCAATACCCTCCGTTTGCTCGCGGTTGGGTTTGTGGAAATCCAACGCTGACCCTGGGGCCCAGCCACTCCTCTTCTCCATTTTGGGGTCTTCATGGGCAAAACCATCCTGCTCTGTCCTTGCCACCCCCACCTCTGCCGGCGCCTCCATCGAGAGATTTCCCCACAATAACCCCCCATTTGCCTTCCTATTCCAGAGCCCAGGGGCTCCGGGGACTCCAGGGGCAGGGAAATGGGGGGATTTCATCAGACTCTCCCCACTCTGCTCTAGATTAATCTTCAGCCTCAGAAGTGAATGTGGTGTATTTGCTGCTCCGAGATGCCATTGAATGCTCGTTTTATTCATTTCTTGCTTGTCCATCCTGGCGAAAGGGGGGGCTCATTGAACATGTAGTTGTTCGGAAGGGGGTGGGCTTGTTCTCCAACCCAAACCCCGATTCTCCATGTTAAATTCGTTCCTTTTGGAAAACCGAGGACCGAGGAGAAAGGGAGAGAGGGAAAGGAGGATTCCATCCCCGGGAAATGCGGATACAAAAGACGTTTTCAGTAAATAAGGCTGGGAAACCGGGCGCGGTGTTTTGGGGAGATGTGCATTGACTGGGGAGCCAACCGAGGGATAAACAGCCCTCCGGAGCCTCAATTCCAGGGAGTCCCTTGTTTTCCAAGCGGCCTCATCCCCCCGCCGGCAGGTCCCAAAGGCCAGAGGGGACAGACACACTGAAACCAGTTCTCTAAATTACACCCGCCTCCCCCCAGTCTCCAGCCCCCTGCATTCCGGAAAACTTCAATTAAAGAATCTCCCCCTCCTGGACCGAGGACAGCCCGGGCCTGGGGGTGGGAGGTGAGGGTGAGAATTTAGGGTCTGGGACTGAGGAGAGGGGCTGCGGTCCCTGGGGTGAACGTCAGAGAGGAGAGCCACCAGGGTGTGGTGCCACCTGCGTGTCCTCCTTCCCCTGGCTCGCCACCCCTTCTCTAGCCAGGGACAGGGGGAGCAGAGCCTGGAGATTGGGGGCGACCGCCCGCCGGAGCCTGCCTCCCGTGGCTTGGGGGCGGCCGTGTTTATTTCTGGCTGTGTGAGGGCTGGGACGGAGGAGGCATGGCCGAGGATCTCTGTCGATCAGGTGCTGAGAGTTGTGCCCAGGACAGACACCCAAGGGGAAGTCTTTCTTCTGCCCAGCCCATCCTTCCCCGGGCGCCGGGCTGGCCCACGGCCGCCTGGGCATAAAGAGACCTGTGGGGGCGGCCCGAGATCCCAGGCCGGAGGCCATGCCCGCTGCAGGGAAGGCCGCTGCGGAAACGGCCTGTCTCTATGGCCCTTCCTGCCCCCCCCCCCCCCCCGCACTCCCCCCTCCCCCCGCTCCGGTCCCCCTGCTAAGGCCATGCTGTTCTTTGCTGTCACAGGGATCCTGGCCAGGGGGAGGGCGGGAGGAGAGGGTGTGGGCTGCAGGGGTGAGCTGGAGAGTCCAGGTTCTACTCTGGGAGCTGGAGGAGGCACTTCCCTGGGCAGTGCCTGCGGGCAGGCTGGGGTCTGGTGAGTAATGGTGTATCGGTGTATCGGGGAGCACCCAGAGAGGAGCCACCCAGGAGAAAGATGTTGGGAAAACCTGGAAAGCCATACTGGCCACATGGATTGTTTGGGGCTTGGAGGGACAGGGATGCTGCTTTGTCTGAGCAGAGACGTGTGTGTGTGTGTGTGTGTGTGTGTGTGTGTGTGTGTATGTGTGTGTTCTGGGTCTATGACCCTAAAGGGCGTCATCTGTACACCAGTGTGTTTCTGTGAATAGGAGTGTCTGTGCCTGCAACCGGGTGATCACGGATGTGAACTCGTGTGAGCTATGCCTGGGGGATCCACAGCCCGTGACAGGGTGTGCTGCTGTGTCCGCATACAAGTGTCAGCAAGTGGCTGATTCTATGATACGTGTGTGTATGTGTCAGAGAGAGAGAGAAAGTCTAGAAGTATCTGTGCCTGTGTGAAGGTCAGCACCTGTGTCTGCTTGTGACACTGCATGACTGTGATCATGACTGGGCATGTGAGTGTAGTGTGCGTGTGTGTGTGCATGTGTGCACATGCCTCCATGACAGAGTAAGGGGAAAGCCCCACAGATGTCTTTGTGCATGGATATCCGTGCTCGTGGCCATGCCTGATGGTGCTGGGAAATATGGATGTGAGGGCTGGGTCTGGGGCTGCCTGTGACCCTGTCTTCGAGTGCCAGTGACCATGGCTGCCTGTGGCTACGGATGTTGGCACGCCGATGACCTGTGGGTGTGAGGGAATCCTGAGCTGGGGTGCTTGGCGGGGGAGGGGGGGCACAGTTCAGCGGGAGACAAAGGTCTAACAAGGAAGCTACAAGGGGCACAGCTGACCTGGGATCTGGGCTGGGCAGTGTGGTCAGCCATAAGCTTCTCCTGTCTGCCTGAGGACAGTGGTCAGCAGCCTTCCCTTCTAAGGCCCACTGTCTCTGGTCTTGGAGCTGGGATAGAGGGTGAGTCACCTTCTCAGGGTTGGGACCAAGGCCAGGGCCGAGGCTGGGACAGGGACAGGAGAGTAGATGGGCCTCAGATTGCTGTTCCCACTCTGCCCCCAGGCTGTCAGATTCCAGGCCTTTCAGCATCTGGGCTCATTGCGGCTGCCCCTGCCCACTTTGGCCCACCCAGCTCACGCATCCCCCAGGAGGGATTTACAGGGGAGACCATGTAGCTGGGATTTCTACCTGTGCCACCCTCAGAAGGCACCCCGAATCCCCATCTCGGCAGGCCTCAGCCCCGAGAGCTGGTAGACCAGAAGGTAGAGCTATGAGGGGCCTCGGACCGAGAGGGCCCTGGAAGGTGATGTGCTCCGGGCCCTGCAGCCAGGCAGTGGCAGAGCTGGGACAGGAAGAGGGGGGCAGCAAGCACTGGTTTCTCTAATTCTTGTCTGTTGGAGGAACTTGTCTTTCTTCTCCTTCTTGGGGGAAAAATGAACTATCTTATTAGGGCCCGGCCTAGTGCCTACTACATTCCAGAGGCAGAGGCCCTGATTCAGGGGTTACAGAAGGCACCTCACTTCTGTGTGACCCACCTATCTGAGCCTGCTTCCCCCCATTTCACCCAGGGGTCACCAACCTGCACTGCCCACACACAGCTGGGCTTGGGGTGGGAAGTGTCCTGCGGAAGTCAAGGGCAGTGAGCTGGGAAATACACCTGAATTCTCTCTCCACCATCCTGAGATCTGTTCCCCAGCTCAAGCTCTTGCCCTAAGCCCAGCCTCAGTTTCCCCATCTGTCAGGTGTCCCTCTGCCTCCCCCCCTTCCTTCCCCCACTCCCACCTCCACCCGCCTCTCAGAGGCTTGTGAACATGTTCAGTCAAACCCCGTGGGGGTCAGTAGGCTGGGCCCAGGGAGGCACCTGGAGACTGCGGGGGAGGAAGGCCCGGGGCCAGGTGTTAACACTTGTAACAGGCAGGAATTACAGCTGGCTGGGCTGGGGCTGGGGCTGGGGCTGGCGAGGCAGGCGCGGAGCTGGCTGGAGGCTGTTGATCTCACAGACAGACAGACAGACAGATGAGCAGATACCAGATCGAACGGCCAGGCATGGCCAGCGTTGAGCGGGTGGTCTCCCTCCCAGGGCAGGCCTCTCCCTGGGGGGATGTGGCAGGGAAATCAATCCAGGCCTCTGGGAAGTGAGTGAACAGCCCCCAGGACCACCCCACTCCCGCTGTGGGCGGAGCTTGGTGTCCAGAGGAAGTAAAAGTGGTGGCTGATTCTCGTTTGCATTCTTCGGATGGGACCACATTTTGCTTAAAAAACAAAACAACAAAACAAAACAAGCCAAATGTTGTAATAATACCAGGAGCATGGTGCTGAGTTATGTATGTTCTTAGAAGATCCTGTTTTAGCCGAAGCCTGTTTGGCTCAGTGGTAGAGTGTCGGTCTGCGGACTGAAAGGTCCCAGGTTCGATTCCGAGCAAGGGCATGTACTTTGGTTGCGGGCACATCCCAGGTAGGGGGGTGTGCAAGAGGCAGCTGGTCGATGTTTCTCTCTCATCGACGTATCTAGCTCTCTATCTCTCTCCCTTCCTCTCTGTAAAAAATCAATTAAAAAATATACATTTAAAAAAAAAAAAAAGAAGATCCTGCTTTAATGTGGGGAAGACCTGAGGAAAGGGGCAGCTGTCAGGGAAAGTTCTAGAATTTCTCAGCATTTTGTCAACAGCTCTGGGAGGTGAGCCGTAGATGGAGCCTGGTCCTGACATCACCCCGCCCCGGGGATCCTGAGGACCTCGGGTGTGGGCCGCCTGCCCACGGGAAGCCCTTGGTGGGAAAGGTCAAAGAGGCAGGAGCTAGACCATGGTGCCCAGTCCTTCAGCGGGCACTCTCTCCTCCCTCCCTGCAGTTTCCCCAGTGGCAAACCCAGCCAGAGCCCCCAGCACCCACCCTCGCTGGCACCTGGGTGTGTGCCCAGTCCCTGGTGAAGATGGAAAGGGCCCTAGGTGGAAATCCCCACGGAATAGACTCAGCCAAGCAAGCAGCCCCCGTCCTGCTCTCTGCGGAGCCCAATGCACTTGGGCGGCTGTGGGATGGACAGGTGATAGGAGGCGGGAAGGGAGCTGTGACCCTGGGGCTCGCTCTGGACGTTGAATAGGTCCCTCCTGGGTCTGGGCTAAAGGCAAGGAGACTGAGGTTGGGGA